GAAGCTGCCAAATTGTTCTAACTCCTGTTCAGACTTTCCAGCATTTTTTCTGTACCTGTTATTCCAGCTCTGACCACGGATTACCTTGTGACCACCGGGTACCGCCTAACTCCTCTGATTCTGCTCGTGTTTTCTGTGTATTGACTATCAGTCTGACCTCTCGTTTGTGGATCCCTCGGCTGTGTAAGTTTGCTGGCTTTGACTTTGGACTATATTTTCAACCTGAGAGTGTTACTTGCTGAAACAGAATCCTGCTTTGTGTTATCGTTGTGTTTGTTACCAGTGGACAGTGTTCTGCTAAACTTCGTCTGGCCTTATAATTGAGTTCACCCCTTGACATTATCAGCAGTTTTACATGCCGATCCTGACACAGAACAACAGCATAATGATGATGATGATGCCCCGCTAAAGGATCACATGTCTGCACAACATAATTAATATGCAAGAAAGCAGGGTGGTAATAAACAGTAGGGGGTCAAATGTTTTTACTGTATTATATAATATCAGAAGGATTTTCCAGACCTGAGACACCAAAGTATCCAGACCCAGACCATAACCTGTTGTTGCAGTGGTAATATTGATGGTCTCAAATGAATATGAGACGTGCTTAGATGAGTGTGACATACACTGGGAGACTCTGATGTAACAAATGCTTCTGTGACTCATAAAACAAAATGTACTACAAATTGTTTAAATCATCAGGGGTCTTCCCTAGATGGCTGAGAAAATGATAAAAGTCATCTTGTTAATTTTATAGTTGTAATATTTAACTTTCCCTCCACCAGCTCCATTGAAATCACATCTCCACCTGCCATTGGCTCATATCAGCCTCCACATCTCTGCGGAGCATACGGATGGCAACTTACAGCAGAAACAAATCCATAGCCAGCCATCACTTTATTACCCAGATGCTGACAGAACAGTGTAAACACAAATGGGGTGACTGTGGTTCAGTGGGTAGAGCACTTGTCTCCCAACCAGAGGGTTGGAGGTTTGAATCACGGTACCTGCAGTCCACATGTTGAAGTGTCACCAACACACTGAACCCCCAGTTTGCCCCCGATGGTTAGAGCCATCGGTTGAGTTGGCACTGCAGATGGCTGTCTTGGTTCTGTACCAGAAACAAAATTGTCTATGTGTAACATACTTGGTCTAAGGAAGGTGATTATCCTCATCTTTAAATGGTAGCAGGTAATTGAGGATTGAAAGAGCAGATAGAAACATAGACATCAACAACTGTTAGCTACAAACAGGTGAGACATTTTAAAATACAGTAAACTTAAGCTGAAATTTCTTATCATGGCACCCAGACTGTGTCTTAGAAAACATGTTGCCACACTGTCATCACTTTGGCAGGATGCAGCCACTGTTTTAGGTCTTCTGATTTCTGCTAAATCTCAGAGACACAAGTCTCTTTTCCCGATATCTCAACTTTTTCTTTGGCAAAGATAGACTGACATCTAACATCTGTTGTACAAATCAGCTTTTCAGGAAGTGCAGCCTCAGCCCACACAGTCCCATCCAAGCAGAGCAGGTTATGTACAGTATAGTAACCAGCGCCAGTCCTTACAGAGGCCCCATCCTCCTGAGGATGTGGTACAGTTCCTCTCTGGGGGCCAGGGGACTTTTGGTACACACGCATGTGCAGCAGAAAAGATTGTCACTGGACCCCTCCATGTCTACAGGGTCAGACGCTAATGCATGTCTTTTCACTGAAGGGACTGTCTTTTATCTCATACATATACGATTCTCTCAGGATCAGAATTCACCACTGTTGTGTCAAATATTTCAGCCTCTTAAAATGTTATCTTTTCTTTTTATGAAGTGATGATAAATTAACATGAGACACCTCTTCTTTGTAATATAAACTTTGTAACGTTGCAATTTAGACATGCAGGGGAGGTTGCAAATATGTGAAATGAACCATTTTCATTTTATATGGTGATTACACCTATTAAGCCAAGCAGAAGAAGTTTCATACTAATAATAGGTTACAGCCTCCCCTAAATCACATTCCCTGACCGGGAATCGAACCCGGGCCGCGGCGGTGAGAGCGCCGAATCCTAACCACTAGACCACCAGGGAACCCTGAATGCAGCCAACCCCAGCTGACACTGTGCGAGAGGCGGGGTCCACCCATGTTCACTTTAGTGTTAGAAATATTACACATTAACATGTCATTTGGTACAGTATTCTACTGGAGAGCAGCAAAGGTTTACCAGGCCTGAACTACATTATATTCAGAGGTGTCTCTATATTTTTGTCCTCTCCAGCTACATACAATACATGAGGGGGTCAGAAAAATAGGAACATCTCTGAATATAACGTAATGTGCATTTAAGAGTAATAATTGTCCACTTGTTATGTCTGTGGGTTCTCTCACGGAGTGGTGAGAGAGAGACGGAGAGAGAAGCTGGACCCAGCGCGCAAAATGTCGATTCAGGGAAGTCAGAAGTGCTTTTATTACCAATTAAGGCAACTACTGATGGGGAAAACAATACTGGTTTCCGACTAGGCTGCTGGAGGTTTACAGCTGAGGTGCGGTGCATAGCCCTGAATTGTGTGCTGGGAGTGACAGTGACAGTGACAGCGTAGCCGAAGAAGCCACAGAATTATGGAGATAAAATCCTCCATACAGAATGGCCATTCCCTCATAGGAGAGACAGAGGGGAAGATGCGGAAACAACCAGAAACAGTCTTCCTTTAGATGTCGTTGACGACTGTCTGAAACTGGAGTGGCCCGACTTCGTGGTCGCAGATAAACACATGCGTCTGTCAGGGGTTTAAGTAGAGAAGAGGGTAATCCGGGAGATGCGCCACAGCTGTGGGTCAAACCAGG